TTTGAGAAGAAAATTATCAGTTCGGTATTAAGGTTCTTAAAATAAAATTTTTCATTGTAAAATTCATTTATCAGATCCAAAACATAAAGAATAATTTTTCCAATGATCGAAGCTCGAGCGAAACGATCGAAAAAATGAAACATCGCAAAATCTTTTTCGTCGAATTTCACGCAAAAACAAAATTTCTAAATGAAAGCGATATTTATAATTTTCTCATCGAAATCATCGTACTTTCATAATTTTGGTCGATTAATTCTTACTTATGATTACATAGTAATGTAACTCTGATTGATTAGAAGATTCTCTTACATGTTTAGAATTTGATCGATTATTCATAAATATTTCGATATAATATAATAATAATAAAATAAAATCTATATTATATATTATATGTATTCCATATATATATATATATATATATATATATATATATATATTATAAATATATGTATACCTATGTAATATGCTTATAATAGTAATATTTATATGATGTAATATCACCTTCATAATATACTGATATCTATATATATTATATAATATCTATACATATGACATAATATGATTTCATCGCAAATTAGCGATAATTTAAATTTCCATTTTTTTTTTTTATTCATCTAATTTGTTAACATAAGGATCAAATTACGAACGAATTAAATTAGATTTAGATTTTTATTTATTTATAATGTATTATTCTTTAGAAATTCAAGGAATAGTTTTACGATATTTTGATTTTTTAAGATATTTTGTTTTATATCTATAATTTAATGATGAACATTTATTCGAATTAATATTAAAAGAGACAAGTTTAATATTGATAACATCTGTCATTATATATTTCATATTTTTTATATTTTATCATGAACGAATCAATTTATAAAAAAAAAACAATCGATTTATAAAAATTTGTAAAAATAGACCTTTTTATAATATAGTGTAAAAGATGTAATTAAAGCAATCAAATATTTTTAAATAAAGTTTATAATAGAAAATTAGTAAAAATATGAATGTATAATATGTGTGATGAAATATTTTATATAATAACATGGAGAAAATATTCAACTTACGTTAGATCTTACCTAATTCTCTTCCTCTCTCTCTTTTTCTCTCTTATGTTTCTAAAAAAAATAAAATACAATCTATAAATATATATATATATATACACAAAGTTTCGTTTTATATTACTTATACTTACACATTATTGATATACATTATATATTACATTTTATTTTTATTTTTATATTACATTAAGAATATTATATATTATTTTTATATCATTTAAATTTATTATTGTATTAATTCATTCATTGTGTACTTTATATATTTACTATTATACATTTATATAATTGCAATAGTATTCTTGAAATAGGAAATCATTGGCGTATAATTATTTAAATGAAAAAGTCAAATTTTTTTGCCTAAAATTCCTCTCTTCAATAACACCAATTTTTTTTTCTTTTTTTTTTCTTTTTTTTTTTTACCATTAGTAATTCTCTTTTCGTATAAAAATACGATGTCATTTGTATAGATTTTTTTTTTTAAACGTGTCTCGAATATATTAACCAACAAATTGCTATACATAAAAATCGTACATTTTTAATGTCATGACATTTTAATAATATGAAGATATTTACATATATAAACGTATTTTATTTCCGATAATTCACTCTTTATTCTGACATTCCGATAATTAACGTATTTTATTTCCGATAATTAACCGATACATTAACTCTTTTTCTATCGCAATATAATAATTCTAGAATTAAAACAGCTATCAAAAAGTGAATATGAATGAATATCGTCGAAAAAAAGAAAGAAATTAACTATTATTGAAAAGAGAGAAAAATAAAAAGAAACGAGTGTCTCTCTCTCTCTCTCTCTCTCTCTCTCTTTTTGTTTTTCTATTCGAAAATAATTATTATGCAAAGTATTATTATAAAAAAAGAATAAATATTGTATATGACAAGATAATTATTTTGCCATCCTTCATTATATATATTTTGATAATATCTAATTCTCTTCCTAGTTGACCTATGCACCGTGCATAAGAAAACGAGAATGCTCACCTAAGTCGTATATTATGTATTACGCATAAATAATTTACAAGAACAACAAAGAAATAAGAGAGAGAGAGAGAGAGAGAGAGAGAAACAGAGAGAGATAGAAATTACAAATGGAAAGTTTCTTTGATTTGAAGATGACCTTGAATGATAGTAGAATTCTATTATTTATTGCCATCATCAGGTTTGTTCACGATATCTTAAATATAATATAATGTAAAGCACAAATATAATATATATGTAAAATATAAGAGGACTTTTTTTTATAGAAAATAGAATTGAACAATAAGAAAAGAGATAGTATGAGTAATAGTATATGTAATAGTAATGAGTAATTGTATATATAAAGCATATTCGAAAGATTATTATTATATTTCACGTGATTCACTCACCCACAAATGGAATGAAAAAAAAAAGTCTGAAAGAAAAGGTGAAGGAAATGTAAATGTATATATGTGTGTGTATGTGTGTGTGTGTGTGAATATATTTAACATAATATCTATATATGTACGTAGAAATGATTTACTTGATAACGGGCATTCTCGAGCTACTGAAAATCAGAATTATTTTCAAGCAATTTTTTAGTAAAAATAATATTGTCATTATTCAGAAAGTACATGTGCATATTTGAAAGGCAAGTATTATTGATCGATCCGTCGTTATTTAGATTGAGAAACGGAAAGAAAAATATTCCATTCAGTGGAAAAAAAATTGATGATTATATTTTGATAAAAGTGTTTCTATAAGTTCGAATAATTTAAGTTTAAACTTATAATTATTAAAATAAAGACTATTAAAGTATCGAATACAAAGTGAGAATTAATTTTGTTGCTAAAAAACAAAATGAAAATTTTAAAAGTCTGTTATTTATTCGGTCAATTTCAACTTTTAAACATTTAATCAATATTTTCAAAAACCAATCAATGTTTATAATAAAATATTGTTACGTAATATAAGTGACTTCAAACGTAAATTTTATGCAACTCTGATGCAACCTTAATATACAATTATTTATATATATATATATATATATATATATATATACTCATCATTTATTTTACAAAATATTTATTATTAATTAAAAAATAAATACAAACGATACGAATATAAATTACCGATTACAATAAATATCGTCAATGAATTCCTTATTGCATGAATGTTTAATTCTTCGATGGATGATATTTTTCTTTTTACAAAATTAAAAAAGAAAAAAAAAAACGAGAACAAAAATCTGCACATATGAAACAAAAAAAAAACAAAAAGAAATAATTACATGATTATTATCATAATGTATATATTTTCTTCGAACAAAAACAAACTTACTGTATATATTTAATATTATGCATTAAATTACGTTTGAATTTATTATTATGTTGTAACTTCTCAACTGTACGTTGTTAAGGATTAACGATGCAAGCCTGTAATTTCTGTCTTTCTCTTTTTCAAGAGATCATATAGAATCTACATCATATGTTAAATACCAGTTTACAAGTAATGCCCATATAAACACAATACCAATAATATTGTTTAAGTGTAAATTTCGTTAAATGATGATACTGACACATTTTCAATCAGTGACAAGGTCAACCGGTTTAAGATCAAACTGGTTTTCATTTTATATCTTCTTGGACCCAATTCCACGACGCACAAAGAGAATGAAAAAGAAAGAGATGAAGAGAGAGAGAGAGAGAGAGAGAGAGAGACGGTGGGGGGGGTAAAGAGAAAGAGAGAAAAAGAGAATATTCAATTCTAAAAAGCATAAATTCTAAATATATTAATAATTTAATTGTAATGCGTTTGAAATAAAAGTCTATCGTATCCGAGAATAACAAAATCGAATATAATGATTAAATGACAATATTAACGTTAGATTCGCATTTGTATCCTACAATCGAGATTAGAGGTCAGTCTTGTGAATCATTTGCATGTTGATACCTGTTAAACGTGTTAATGTTTGTTTTCTTCTTCATTTTTCTTTCTTGTTTTTTTTCTTTTTTATTTTTTTATTTTTTTTTTTTTTCTAATTATTATCTGAGGATAAAAATAATTGACGATGTAGATGAGATTTTATGACGTTGACTTACAACCAATTATTATTACTATTCGTATCTCTCTTTCTAAACTTTAACATTCGAATCATTATTGCTGACAAAGTATTATATCATTTTTTTTGAACTTATGGTCGTTAGAACGTCATGGATTATATATGATGAAAGAGAATTAGAAATCTGTGCCGTAATACGAACCAATGCATATATGTTGTATTCTTCACGCGTGAAAAGCTTTCTCCTAATATCTTCATAATACTTTCGCTCCATGAGCAACTAAAAAGAACAGAAAAAGAGAAAGAGAGAGAGAGAGAGAGAGAGAGAGAGAGAGAGAGAGAAAGAAAGAAAATGAAATTCATGCAAATGGTCGTTACATTATAAAATATTTCGTTACACTAGTGAGATAAGTGGATTTAAACTGGTCAAGTTTTATCAACGAGCCAAAAAAAAAAAAAACAAAAAAATCTATATAAATGTATAATATTATAAATGACACGGAAATTTAAGTATGCTTCGGCAAGAACGAATTGACTGTTGAAAATCCATGATTGATTGCAAGAAACCTCCTTACTTTATTACTTTATCCACATTTTTTCCTTCCACTTTTTCAATGAGAATACTGTAGTAAACAAGTTCTTCTTACCGAATCGTTATAGAAACAAAAAAAAAACGGAGACATTATTTATCATTATTTATCGAAGATGATTAATAATATAATTATAAATGTTAGGAAACATATTATAATCTATATGTACTATGATCACAAAATGAATTACTATAATAAGAACACCTTGGACTAATCTTTTTTTGTTTTTTTTTTGTCTTTTTTTTTTAATGAAACAAGACGATAATCGACTTTTATGCAAGTAGAAAAATTTATCATTATAGATATCTTCTATACCAACGTAAGGAAACTACTTTATCGATAGAATGTAATAACGAACACTACTTTATCTACGTTACCTATATGTGATATTGTACGATCGGTAAGATAGAAAAGTGAATTTTTCATTTCTTATTTTTAACTGCTGGTAATGCAGTTTGGGTTTCTTTGAAATGAGACAATATGCAACCAAACATACACTCATAGATGTTCGGTTAATAGTAATCCGGCGTAATGAATTACCGTTAGAAATAAATACCACTGCATAAAAATCCCACCCCCACCTATTTCCAAGCAGGCCAGTCCACTCACAGAACTGGTCGAACACGATGCCAATGCATAGAGTAAGATAAACCAGTCAGTTTAAGTTTGTACGTGAACATTAAAAGGAATTGTTTCGATTAAACTTTTGGATAAGTCGAACAGTCTTATCAATATTGTCATACCGTGTGCATCTATCTCGTTACTTCTCGAATTAATTTTAATCTTTAAATTCATAAGAAAAAGAAATTTCTTTTTAAAAAATATTTATTTAATGAAGTGAGTGTTATTGTTAAAAAAGGTTTCTTACAGTTAAAAAAATTTAGAAAAAGAAACCAATGAATCTCTTGAACGTCAACATTTTTTTATAAAACTCGAACGGAAAACGATTTTTATAAAACTTCGTCAAAATTATAAAGAAAAATAAAGTGCGACGACAGTGACAATAAAGACGAGAAATTAAAAAGAAAGAGAATTATAATTTAAAAAGTTCTTTTCATAATCAAGAAGAATATCATCAGAAGTATTTGATCTATTTTTTTAAAAGGTATGTGAACAATTAAAAAGTAAGTGAAAAAATAGATTACGGTGTTTTCATTTAGAGAAAGTTCTTGTGATCTAATTAACGTGATGTTTAATAATAATTGACATTTGATAATACGTAATGTTTTCTTTTATTCGCAAAAATTTTTTATTTTAAATTATAGTTAATCATAGAATTGATTTCATCGATAAGAATATTCCATATCTCTCATAAATTTCATTTTACGATTTATTACCAAGAAAATTTATTATAACCATTGTAAATGCAAACTTGTCTAGTAGATACTGACCTTCTCTTTACGTGAAATCTAGGTTCTGGAGAATCATGATAGAATAACTCATCGTATGTTAGTATTCGCTTACTGTGTAAGTGTAACTGAAGATAAATTTCAAATATAAAATATATTTTCTCGACAGTTTTCATTTCCTTTCTTTATTTTCATTTCAATCTCAATTCTCTCGAATCATTGGAATAACGTTATAAGCAAGCGCATGTAGACGAAAAAAAAAAAAAAAGAAAAAGAAAAAAAAAAAGAAATTAAAAAAATTAAATTTATTCATTTACTCGTATTAATTTTTCGTAAAATATATCATCACTTATTGCAATATTATACGATAGTTTTATATTTCTGTATTTTTCATGTTTTATTTTTTAATGGAATGAGTCAGTTTATCGGCAACTGGTTGATTCGTTGACGTAAGTAAAATTAAAAGAAATATGTTTGGCGAAGAAAATTTTGTCAGCACAAATTTAACTAACATTATTATTTAAGTCGTTAATATTTTTATTTTTCAAGCATATGTTAAATGAAAATCATGATGAAAGTAGCGAAATAAAAATTTCTTTTATTTCATTATTATTCGTATAATTACAGTTTCACATTGATAAAGTTTCTTATTTCTTTTTTTTGTTTTTTTTTTTTTTTATTTTAATTTTTAATCTTTACTATAGACATAATTATTTAGAGGCTCAGAAAAAAAGAGAAAAAAGCGAAATTCGAGAAGATCAAAATTTTTTCTTAAAAACAATTGGAGAATATAAAAGGATTTATATGAAAAAAGAAATTGAGTGATAAATAATGGAAAGAAAGAAAGAAAGGAAGAGGAAGAAAAAAAAAAAAGGAGAGGAAGAAAAACAAGAAATACCATACTTCATTTTACGAATCATTTTTTGTAATTATTATTTTCATAATAATTATTATCAAATAACTCAAAATATACGTGATAATTATTATGGATAATTCAAAAAAGTATTAAGGTTTTAAAGTCGAAAAATAAACGCATCATAATTTCTATTTCTATAACATAAATAAGATAAAAAAAATGACAGTGATTGATGTTTTCATTAGTATGTATATAATTCTTTTATGAATTGATTTTGTATCCAAGGACATTTAAATAGTAAAAACAACTTAAAATACATATTTAAATTCTGATGTTTTCTCAATTTTTTTTTTTTTCTTTTTTTTTTTTAATAATCATACACATCTTCGTAAATGATGCAATTAATTGAAATATTTGTATCTGCGCTTATTAACTTAGGAATATATGCATATATTACGTTTTATTATATATACACAGTATTTGTTTTTTCTTTTAATATTTGAGGTTTATTCATGCTTATTAAAAATCATATTTAATCTTTATACGCTATGGATTAATTAGAAATCGCGATATAATTTTTTCAAATTTTTTCGTAATAAATTACAAATGTTATTTTATTCGAATCTCATTGAGAAAAATATTAAACTAATCGAAAGATGTTCGATCATAAATCTGAGTTATATTTTTTTCATTATTATATTTATTAATATTTAAGAAAAAGAAAAAAAGAAAAAGACAGAAACAAAATTCATCTTTCATTCAAACACATTATTATATATAATTATTACTTCTAACGTGAGAAAGTTAATATCTTCGATCAAATCCAAAAGGAAAATTTTTCAGATTATATCGAGTTTATAATTAAAACATTAATTAATTAATTAATTATTTGTACCATAATTATCTGTAGCATTTTTAAATAGTGTCATAAAAAAAAAAGAAGAAGAAAAAAACCAATTGAAATTTCGTTCGTAAATATAAATGAAATCGATGCGAAAAAAGTATAATCGAAAGTATAGTCGAATAAATTAATCACATCTAACGTTTATTTGAACGAATATAAATTATGTTATAAATTATTATTCATCGTTATTATGTCATGTAATTATTAAGGATTAACAAAAAAAAAAGAAATATATTTCTTCCTTATGATGCAAATCAAATGAAATATGGAATTAATTCTTATCAAGAAAATCTAAAGCGAATTAATGTCATACTGAATATCTATATCACGATATCTATATCACATACTTACGAGTTTTATATGATTACAATGTCAGTACATGATATTAATATTAATTAATTGCTTTAGAAAATACGTAATTTTTCATTTATAAATTATAATAATTATTATACGCCTTAGATCTTTCTTCTCCAATTAAGTGTTTCTTTTTAAAAAAAAAAAAGTTTATTTTTTAAAATTATTACGTTGAAATTGATTATAAACAATAACATGAGATAACTATACCATAGCAATAAACTTAATCTTAGGTTTATTAAAGCGAGTTAAAACAAATAACGAGAGATCCTCTTATCTCGTAGACATCGAAAAATTTAGAAAATTATTAAATATCTATTCAGTTTTTATTAGTTAAGAAAAAAAAAAAGAATGAAAATAAATAAATAAAAAAGAAAAAAATTCATAAAAAATTAATAATAATAATTTACCGCATTAATGATCAAAGAAAAATTGTATTTAATACGTATGTAATTTTATTCATCTAATTCCCTTATCGTTTATTTAATAATTTCTTATCAGTTAACATTATCGTAACATTATAAATTTAAAGGAATGCTTTAATTAAAATAATTGAATTATTCGTACGTAACATGACAATTTTTTTAAACTTTTTTTTATTCCATTTAGAAAGAAATGAAATTTAATGTGTGTATATATTTCAACCATCCACATATACACACACACACACACACACACCGTACACGCACGCACGTACGGAAGAGTCGTTCGATAAAATTAATGATTGAGTATCTTCAATGACAAAAGTATTGCTTATATTGAAATATCTCCTTGATGCAGAAGACAAATGATTATTAATTATCAAAATGGTTTTAATAAATTCAAAGATTCGGTTTTTAAACGTCAATAAGTCTAATTTAAATAACAATTCTGTTAGATTCTTTTTTCTTTTTTTTCTTTTTCTTTTTTCTAAAGAAAAAAGTAGGAAACAAATACGAAACAAATGATCGTTATTAATCATTTCTACAATTACATTAACCAAAAAGACAAATTTGATTGAATCATATGGAAATGTACAAGAAAAAAAAAAAAAGAAAAAAAAAAAATGTAAAGGTTGACGTTTGATGAATAATATACAACTGTAAATACATAGAAACGCAACAACATGCTTTCCCTCTCCCTCTCTCTCACACACACATACATACATACACATACACTCACACACACACACACACACACACACAATTTCTTATGTAAATAATGGTGTTAGAACTTCAATATACTATATAGTCGTGGTTAACCAAGTGTCGGTCATTTTAAGCGATGAAATCGACAGATATGTACGAACTAGCAGTAATATCTAAGGATATTTTGATTTCTCTTCTCTGTAAATATCGATTCAAATCGATTTGATAGAAGTCGATCATTTCGTTTTAATATTTTTAAATTCATTTTTATTATCATATTAATAGATCGTCAAAAGTGAGAAACTTATTTCGGGAATAAGAAAATGTTCGAGGATCATCAGGCTATCATTGTGAAGAACGTGACGAAAATTTATGGGAAAAAGTTAAAGGTTCTTGACGGATTGAACCTATCAGTCTCGAAAGGTTCCATGTAAGTACTCATTTCAATAGAAATTTCTTCTCATTTATTTTCTTTTCTTTTTCGTTATAAGATTACGTTAAAACGAAATATAATAAGAAAACTTTTAGAAGGTATGAAAGCAAATGAAAGAAATATTTTATCGTTGATTTATTTACAATGACTTTGAGCGACACCGTATGGGAAAATCATTGAAATTCTTATCAGACGAATATAATATGAAATGAAGTATAAACAATGCTTAACAAGTCCTATATGTATATAAAAATATATATGAATATTTTTTTTTTTTTTTTTTTTTTTTTTTTATTAAATTTTAATATACGTATATATATATATATTTTTTTTTCTCCTTCAAAAAGAAAAAAAGAAAAACACATAAATCCCAAGGTGCAACGAATTGAAAACATTTTGAAGATAATATTAAAATTGCAATTGCCCCCCCCCCCCACCCCCCTCCCCACCCCTTCAATATTTCTGACATGTATATTTCTTTCATTGGTTTTTTTTTTTTTTAATTTATTTTTTCTTTCCTCTTTACATGAAAATAAAAAATAATAATATCAATAGATATGGATTATTGGGTGCCAGTGGATGCGGAAAGACAACTCTTTTATCGTGCATCGTCGGTATATGTAAGATAAACAGCGGTGATATTTGGGTACTCGGAGGTAAACCCGGTAATGAAAATTCAGGTATTCCGGGATCAAGAGTCGGCTTTATGCCGCAGAACATTTCCCTTGTAAACGAGTTCTCTACAATAGGTGCGTTTTATTATTTCGGAAGGATCAATGGACTGAGAGACGATGAAATAGGTGAGATCCATTTTTAGAAATTTAATTGTCAAAATGAGATAAAATAAGACAAAACAAAACAAAACAAAACAAAAAAAAAGACAAGATAACGGATCCTTAATTAATGAAAAATGAAAATTAGAAGAAGAAGAAAAAAAAACGGATTATTCCTTCTGCTTTTTCTTCGATGTTTTCTTTTCTTTCTTTTCTTTTTTTTTTTTTTCTTTCCCCCCATTTTTCCTTTCATTTTCTTTCTCAAGCTTTCCTTGCAATTCGAAATTCATTCGATCTATTTCAGAGGAACGATACGTAGATCTAGCCGAACTCCTGCAATTACCGTCGAAACATCAATTGATAAAGAATTTGAGCGGTGGCCAACAAAGGAGAATATCCTTTGCCGCTGCACTACTTCACAGACCTGAGTTATTGATCCTTGACGAACCTACCGTCGGTCTTGATTCGATTTTAAGATATAAGTAAGAATAATAATTTTTAGACTTTTTCAACAGATTCAACGATAGGACTCAATTTATTAATAATTATTTAGTAATAATTTTATTCCTTCTTTTTTTTCCTTTTTTTTTCCTTTTTCTTTATCTTTCTTCTCTCTTCTCTCCCTCCCCCCCCCCGCCGACCCGTCCCGTCCCCCGCCCCCTTACCCCTTCACCCTGTCTCCTGCCTTCTGCCGCCACTCCTCGATCTTTTAATTTCTAATTTATTTTTCTCTTCTAGCATTTGGAATTTCTTAACTAAGATCACGCAGGAGAACGGTGTTACCATCGTCATAACAACGCATTATATCGACGAAGCGAGACAAGCAAACAAGGTAAACAAAAAAAAAAAAAAGAAAAGGGAAAAAAATGATTCTCAATGATTAACGATCTCTCTTTGGATTGTCCAAAATATATCTACGTTAGGTATATCTCCGTTGATGGACTTTCGACTTTCGTCATTTTCACCTCCATTAGGTATCATACGAAAAAGCGTAAAAAAAAACACTTAATGCGGACCGATTAATAATATTCTCTATAGTTTTCATTTTGGGTAATGGCATATCTGACAACAGCTATAGAAAGTAGTCGCTTATAAATATTAAAGAACTTTAAATTAAATTATTCTAGCAATAAATTCTATAATATGAAATGTAGTCTTTACGTGTAATTGTCTGTCGAGGAAAAAAAAAAAAAAGAAGAAAAAAGAGAAAGAGAAAAAAAGGAAAAGAAAAAATAAGTCGACCGAGAATAAAAGAAATGTGGTTCTTTACGGTTCGTGAGTTATATCGTACGATAAAATATATATATGTAGGCGCGCGTGTCTTTATGTGTGTGTATGTGTGTTCGTGTGTGTGTGCGTATGTATGTGTGTGTCTGTGTGTGTAATATATTCTTATATCCTATTTATAAAAAATAAAGAAAAAAAATGAAAATGAAGGAAAAAAAAGATAAAATCAGAGATAAAAAAATCTGAACGTAAGCATTAAGATAAGAGATAATAATAAGAGATATTCTAATAAGCCAAACAACAATGATTTATTGAGGATTTGCAATTAAATTAAAAATAAAAAATTGCATAAAACAAAGATAAGAAATTAAATAAATAAATAAATAAATGAATGAATAAATAAATAAATATTAATCGTAACGATAAATTTTTTAGATCGGGCTCTTGAGATCCGGCAAATTATTGGCGGAAACCACGCCGAATCAATTGATGGATCGTTTTCAATGTGATAATTTGGAGGATGCCTTTCTAGAACTGAGCAGACGTCAACAAGATAATATTAATAGAAATGTAAATGATAATTCTGAGATGTTAGATGAAACGGAATTTGTGGAAGGTTCAATCAATCTTTCTACAAAATCAATGAATGCCTCTACAAAATCAACTACAAATTCATGTACGTATATATATATATATATATATATATATTGCAGCAAATATCCTTTTTATTTCTGCAAAATATTTTTTCTATTTATTTATAAAATGACATGTCATTGTGTGATTTGTGTGTCTCATATTCGTAATCAACAAGAGAAATCAGGAAAGGAAACGATTAAAATGTGATAAAAGATTAAAATGTAACATGTCTTTTTTCTTTTATTTCTTTTTATATTTTTTACGTTCGCTTATTTATTTGAGTACTTTTTTTAAATAATTAAATCGCCTCTTGTTTATATTACATATTCAATCTAAAAAGATTTTCTTTATTTCCACGTTTCATTGATTATGAACGATTGAATTAATGATGAAAATAAAACGAATAGAAGCACATTAGATTTACAACGTATTAACGTAAATGAGATAGTGTTCATGAATAAATCAAAAATTGAGTAAAAAATTCTATAATTCTTTATTTCGAATGATTATTATTAATCCTTTAATCCTTCATTTCTCTGTTCAAAATTAATCATATGCTAATATATTTTTATTAATAAATTTCTGAATTTCTTTTTCGTTTAGAAATTTCCATATCTTTTTTTTTGTTTCTTGTAATTTCTAAAATTACAAATTATTTCATTAATAAATTAATTATCAATTACTAGGTTTTTCTAATTTATAAATTTCATACTTATAAATCATACAAGTTTTATATTCTAATTTATATATATATATATATATATAAATTATCGCATTCGTCATCGTTCTTTTTTAAATACATACATTTAGCTCACGTCAGCTAGTTTCGTAATATTTCTTGTTGATGTTCTGGAATCGTCTTACTCTCCTCGTCTCTCTTTTTTTCTTGTTAATCGAAGTATTTTATTTTTAGTATCTTTTAAATTGTTTTCATTCTATGCGACACAATAACACATGCGATGTTTATATGCGATAAATACATATAAAATATGTATGTTAATTCTTTTAATAAATTTCTTTTTTATTTTTATAACATACATAAGAAATTTTGATTGAATAATTACAATTCTAGTACACATTTAAGTGATTTGACTTGTATAATTAAAATTTTATTCCATTATGAATGGATAAATCTAAACAACATATAATTACAAATAATAATTATTGATATATGTTTATTAATTTATCATATTATAAATTCATATTATAAATTTACTCTTCACGTATGTCATTGATACATATTTTTTAGTCCTCTTTTTGCAAATACCTAATGTATGTCTTACGAGGTGAAGGATTTTTAACAAGGAATGATTTTTTTTTTACAGCTGTGACGTTTCGAAGATTGAAGGCTCTTATAATCAAAAATATTACACAATTTCTACGAAATCCCGGGTATGATGATTTTTTTGTTTTCTATCATTCATTTCTTTCTAATCGAAAAAAATGATCCAATAATCAGCGTGATATACATGTAATAATAATAATAATAATAATAATGATAATGATAATGATAATGATGCTAACGAGAATAATTGATGATATAATTTTTTACTTACAGAGGAATTTTATTTTCTATAGGATTTCCCATAATCCAACTCCTTGTATTTCATTATTCTTTCGGTCATGATCCTAAAGATTTGTTAATTGGTGTGATTAATCGTGAATCCAATAACTGTGACTTCGGTAAAAATCAAGGAAATATTATTTATACGCAAAACGATATATGCGACTTCTTTGATCTTAGTTGTCGATTTTTAAACGATATAAATGATACCACTGCAAAAAAGGTGAGTAAGAAAAATAGTATATACATACTCGAACGATCGTATAAAAATAAGATATATCATTTAATGTTGACATTTAATTTACGTCATTATTTTTTACTTAACAAAAAATATTTTAAATATAAATCGAATAGCTTCGGATGGAAATATATTCTGATGCTATTTGTCTGATACTTTTTTGTTATTTTTTTTTTTTTGTATTGATATTTATATATTCTTAATGTATACACATACACACACATACACACATTTATGTATATACATATTTTTAATATTTTGTTTCTTTTCTTTATGATAATTAAATTTTAGCCAATACATATATTCAACAGTTAATTCGATAAATATAATTTATATTTAATATATTATAATAAATAATTTCGTTTATAGATATATATATATAAAAAAAAAAAATATGATTTTATTTGATCTGTTTTTATCGTAGATATTTTATAATTATCTACCGGAAATGAAGGATGATTTAAGAAAAGGAAAACTTTCTGGAATTATATATTTTGATACAAATTTTACGCAGGCTTTGCAAAAGAGATTGATGAATTCGAGATATGTCGAAGATAGGGACATCGAAATTGGAGAGATTAAAATTTGGTTGGACATGTCCAGTAAGTACTTTTTAAAATATATAATTCTTTTTCATTCGATCAAAAAAGAAAAAAAAAGGAACAAAATGATTCGACTTATCTTTCTTTGTTTTTTTTTCTTTTGTCTTTCTCATAGATAGACAAATAGGCCTTTTCTTGAAAAATAAACTTTACGAAACATATTTCGAGAGCATGCGAAATATTATGACGGAATGTCATTTGCCTTCGAAAATTGCAAATATACCGTTAAGTGTATGTAAATTGAATTATTCTTACATTATATTTTATTTTTTTATTTATTTTATTTTATATGATTATATTTTATTTTGATTGGTATCATTTGAAATTTATATTTTCAGTTTGAGAAACCTATTTTTGGGAAAAAGAACGACGACTATATCAATTTCAGTGCGCCTGTTTTTATCTTATCGTGAGTTAAATTATTTTTTTTTTCTTCTTCTTTTACGCCTTTATATATACAAAAAAAAAAAAAAAAAAAAAAAAATCCGATCTCTTGGATCACTTTTCTTTATATACAATATTAATCGGCTTAAAAAATATTTAAATCATGCTTAAAATTACTTCAATATATTTTTGTTCTACTTTTTTTTCCCTTTTTTTTTTCAGATTAACTTTTTTCGTAACAACAGTAATGACAACCACGATATTAATCTCCGACAGGCACGAAGGCATTTGGGAAAGAAGTCTCGTCCAAGGTAAACAAAAATGTATTTTTTTTTAGTGCATACGATTTAACAGAAAATTATTTAAAAAGATATGCGCATTGGAGCGAATATTATGTCCTTCAAAAAACATATTATTATTGCATTAAGAATGATAAATGTTTAGCATTAAATAAATATATCCATTACAAATAAAAAAAAAAAAGAAAAGAATATCCATTACAAATAAAAAAAAAAAACATAAGGAAAAGAAAAAAAGAAATATTAAATCGAGCAATATATTTCATTTGTAGTATACTACTCTAAAAACTAATTATTAATGTAGTCTTGTAAAAAGTGAACATTAAATCAATATTTTTATTACAATTGAAAAAACAAATAATTAGAGTACAACATTTGAATATGTAAATGAGGAAGCATTTATTTCAATGTCATATTTTTATTTGTTTTTAATACTCGTCATATCTTTACGCAACCATTACACAATCATGACTTGCTAAGACCTTGCGTACATTAAAAAAAAAATTTAATTTGTTATCCGCTTATAAATATATTCATTAATTTACCTTTTCTTTTTTCCTTTTTTTCCTTTCGTTAATGCACAAAAAAATATTCAATTTGTTACACATTTATTTTTTTTTTTACTTATTCGATTTTTTTCTACATGCACATTTTATAAAATATTTTATTAAATGCGCATTTTATATTTATTGTACTTATTTATTGTATACATTTGTATCGATCTTTTACGATTTATTCTATTCGATACAATTCCAATTGTTTAAGATTTATTAATTTAATTGTACTAATGCACTTTTACATAGAGTTAACTATTTTGTTTTCCGTTTATTGCGTGAATTAATTTCTTTTTTTTTTCTTTTTTTTTTTCTTTTTTTTTTCTTTTTTTTTTTAATTAATATAAAAGATAAGAAAGAAAATAAATTTTATAAAAAGTATTTTACGCAAATCAATGCAATATTTTATTTAATGTCTTTTTGAAAAAATTCCTTTACTTCTATTAAGATATTATTAAATGATAATAAATGATAATATTTAAATGATAATAATTTGTATGCAAAACGCGATACTATTAACGTGTCAATTTCCCCGATTAAGATCTTTAATAGTGACTTGTTATGTATGTACGTACACCTTCTCTTTTCTATCTTTTTTCCTTTATTTTTTTCTCTTTCTTTTTATTTCTTTCGAAGAAGAAACGTGATGTAATTCAAGGCGCTAGATGAATGAAAAACTAATATAGAGCATAAATCTTGATAATTATTGCTCTTTCATTTTTTTACCGATTTAAATTTTCTAGATAATCTTAAAAATTATGAAAAATCGTTATTATTAATTGCTACGAATTATATTATATTTTCTATAATTATATCCACAAAAACTCTATTTACATTAATGTATATATTTGCAAAGCAACTAATTCATTATGGAATAATGCAGTACGTTTTTTTACCCTCTTTAGAAACTGTTTCCTATGAGTATAAATAATTTTTCTCCAATACATTTTTTAATTATATAACATTCCAATAATTTCTTAATTATATAACTTTTTTACCTGCATATATATTTAAGTTTTCATATAACTAAAAGTGCAACATTTACCTCATAATATATGAATAATTTCAATTAGAAATTTAAAAATATTAACTTTACGACGAGTTTAGGTAAAGGATAAGAAGTAACAAAAAAAAAAATATAATTAACTATAATTAATAATCTAAGATATAATTAAATATCTCTGTTTCAGGGGTGACAACATCAGAAATACTGTTCTCCCATTTCGTGGTAGAATTGTTGATTGTCATCATGCAGGTCATATTAATCTGTTGTATAAGCTTTGTTTATTTTAATTTAGATTGTAAGGGCTCCTTAGTGACCGTCGTCACGATGGTATTTTTCATGGGTGTATGTGGATTATTTTACGGTAAGTTTTACATACTTATCGTACTTCTAACTGAAAAATAACAAATAAATAAATACAATACAACAACAATAAAAATATGTCCGATCGACAGGTTTTTTGATTTCGGTATTCTGCAATTCGCATTTAATTGCGGATTATATCGTCACTGGAAGTTTCTATCCTATAATACTTCTTAGTGGTATGTAAAATTGATAAAAAAATTACGAATTACTGTAAAAAAAAAAAAAAAAAAAAAAAAGAAAATCCTAATTCCTAATGTGCTTCTATCGTTTTTTGTTTTTTTTCTTTTTCTTTTTTTTTTTTTTTTTCTTTTTTTCTTAGGATTTCTCTGGCCGATCGAAGGAATACCATCTATAATTAAATGGTTAAGTTACTGTTTGCCAACAACGATACCAGGTATTTCACTAAGGGCGATCTTAAATAAAGGCCATTCCGTCAATAATCCGGAGGTTTACAAAGGTTTCTTCGTGATAGGTGGGTGGACGGTCATAATGATCCTCCTTTGTCTCTACGGTCTCAAAAGGAAATCATAGGAAAGAAAAGAAAGAAAAGGAAAAAAAAGAAAAAAAACATATATATATATATATATATATATATATATATATATATATATATATATAAATAACAAAATAAGACTCAAATATTTTATTAATGCGTCTTAAAACAGGGTTTTAATTGTTTAAGTTTTTAATTAATATTTTGAAGGTTATGTATCTCGTAAAAGCTTTTTTCTTTTTTGTTTCTTTGTTTCGTTTTTTTTTTTTTAGCTAATATTTCTCAATGTATCTTATGTTATAGAAATTTGATTTCATAATGTATATTTAATTATAAACTTAAGTGTGTGTGTGTGTGTTTGTGTATGTGTAAATGCGTACATTTATATTTTTAATGAGCAAAGGAAAAGAATACGTTCGTAAATTATAATTAATGTAATAAATTCAGTTTCTTTTTTTTTTCTCTTTTTTTTTCTTTTTTCTTTTATTTTTTTATTTTTTTATTTTTTTTTTTTTTTTTTTTTGTTAAAAACGCTTAATAATATAGAAATGAAATAATGAAAGAAAAAGTGCGAAATATATAAAAATTTTCATATAAATCTACTTTAATATTGGATCGTGATAAATCTTATAACGATAGATCTTTTTACTATAGAGAAGCTAATTATCAAAAGATTATTGCTAAACTGGACTCCTTGCCAAAAGTGCCATAAATAAATTATTCACGCGCGAACAATATCTCCTCTTTTTTTTACGTATTTTGAAGAATATCTTTGATAATAAAAATTATTATATCATGATAATAAAAAGTGAATGATATCCTATAAATAAAACATTGATATTCGAAGAAGATATGCATCTATTTTGCATTTGATCTTTAGTCGGACGATTTAAATCGTATGTAAATAGCGTTTTTTCTTTTTTTCTTCTTTTTTTTTTTGTGGTGTGCGACTATAGTTCAATCGATAATAATATTTAATCTTTCGAAAAATTAATATTACAAAAAGTTATAAGAAGAGATTTTCTCTCAAATCATTTGTCTAGTCAAAAGTGCGATCAAAAGATAAGCGTTGCTTTCTATTATTATTGTGATAAATAAATTAAAATATTTCTTTTTAATTACGAAAAATATAAAATATTTCAAAAACAAGAGCAATTGAAAATATTCTGATTATTATTTTTTAATATCTCTAATGTAGAAAAATTATGATAAAATTATTTGTGCGAGGATAAATGATATATGTATAACATAGTTCGATAAATTTTTATTTTGAATTTTATTTATAATACCATTTAAGAGTATCAGTGTAATGCGTCTCGTTTTAACTTTTAGAGGAAGAAAGAAAGAAAAAGATGAAAATAATAATAAAGTAATAACGATAAAGTAATTTCTTTGATTCATCTTTTTTAACTTAATTGAATGAAGATATTTTTATCGACTATATTTTATTAAATAGATATTATTTCAACGATAACGAAGGATAATTTGACTTACGTCAAATTTCATTTACATTTCGGAACATTATAATTCTATAACAACGATGTAATCGTAAATATTATATATATATGTGTGTGCGTGTGTGTGTCTGTGTATGTGTATGTGTATGTGTGTTTGCTTATGTTTGTAAAAAGTAATAAAAATCAATACTTCTATACGAAACATAAAATGTTATTTCTTTGTTAGGCACAATCGATCACATTATTAGAACTTAATAAATATTCCTACGCGAATTTAATTAATCTTAATTAAATACCTTTTGTATACAGGAATTAAAAAAAAAAAGTTTTTTTTAACTTTTTATATGCTATTATTTTAAAATCAAAAATGAAAACAAACTAACGATTATTTGCGAATAAAATTACTTCGTTCCAAGTAATTCTATTTTTGATATTCGAATGAATATATTGCACGTACAAACGTATACGAGTTATGATATGAAACAGAAAAATTCAAAAAGATATTCAAATATTTCATGAAGATCCAAAGATAATTGGATCATCTATTATAATTTTTGTCTTTATGAGAAGGAAAAATTATTTAAAGAAAAGAAAAAAAAAGAAAAAAAAAAAAAAATAATAATAATAATAATAATAATAATAATTTCTTAATTGAAAACAAACAAAGAGTTTTGTTTATTAATTTTGTTAATAATTACCAATGATATTAAAATCATTATTAAAAAATATATATGAAAATTAAATTATATCTGGAAGATATAATAATAAGTTGTCTCATTCGCAAGGCCATGTTATCCTTGAACTATATATATTGATATACTCCTTTCACTTTTTTCAATTCAAGTCGAAACATCCTTATTTCATAATTTATTTCCTTTATCCTCTTTAGTCATACATGTTTCAATAATATGATTCACAATTCTTAGCATAACATTTTAAATACGATATTACAAACATATACAACGTGCGAGTAATAGATTACGTTGTTGAAGTTGTTGCTCTTGTTGTTGTTGTTGTTGTTGTTGTTGTTGTTGTTGTTATTGTAGTAATAGTAGTAGTAGTAGTAGTAGTAGCAGTTGATGTTGTTGCTGTTGTTGTTTTTGCAGTTATTGTTGTTGTTAATGGTAATTGATATTTTATTTTTCTGCTATACTTTTTCTTTTTTTCTCTTTTAATATTAATTTCTGTGTACTTATAGTTTCGTGCTCGTAGATTCGATCGCCAACTCTCCATTATATATATTATTATTCTCCTCCTCTTGTTGGAGGTACAGTTAATTAATTAATTGATTAATTAATTAATTAATTCGTAAGGCTATTTCACCAAGACAGTTGGTATTTGTTTTTCTTCTGTATTTTTTTTTAAATATAAACTTATACCTACATATAATTTCGTGCTCGACTTTCTATTATAATTATTATTTTCTCCTCTGCTAATAGTTATAATTAATTGATTAATTAATTAATTAATTTATCAAATAATTAATTAATTAATTAATTCGTAAGGCTATTTCGTTGAAATAAAAGGGAGATAAAGAGGAAAGGATAGGCACGACGATAAAAATTATTATAAACATTAAGCGCCTTTCATCAGGACTGTTTATATATTAGCTGCCTTAAAAAAAAAAAAAAAAAAAAAAAAAAAAAAAAAAAAAAAAAAAAAAGAAAAGGAAAGAAAGAGAATCTATAAAAACAATAGCACTGCTTTATAGTAAAATAGATGGAGAATTTTATCAAAGACAAAAAAAAAAAAAAAAAGATCTATAACTTCTACATAATCCTATGCTACGTATGTGGTTACTTTTCAAAATTTAAATGCTTCCTCTCCAATCCAAATATCCAAATATTTCTTTTTGATTGAGCGCCAAAAAAATATATTTACAGAACAGAGACCGTTTAAAAGATAATATCTTAAAGAGGATAAATAATAATAATAATAATAATAATAATAATAATAATAATAATAATAATAATAATAATAATAATAATAATAATAATAATAATAATAATAATAATAATAATAATAATAATAATAATAAAAGGTAAATAAGTTACGTCAATAGAATTTCAACTTTTTTACTTTTATAATTTATACATTTGTTTTTATCAAACATAATTGTTTCTTTTTTTTTCTTTCAAAGTCATCTCAAGGTCCAACAACTCACGTATTATTTTTATTATTTAGCTGTTATATTATCATAATAAAATGAATAAACACCGATATCTCTCGCATAAATGATTTTGTAAATTAAAACAAAAAAAAAAAACAAAAAAAAAAAAAAAAAACAAAAAAAAAAGAAATAGAGAATGTCTATATCATTACATTATATTCTTCGAATGGTACAACTTTGTTTTTTTATATGATTTATTATTTATTACGCTCAATTCAATCAAAATATGTAGATGTTCGGGTTTAAAAGGAATATCCTGTATACGTATATATCAAAAAACCAACAGATAACTTAAAAAAAAAAAAAAAAAAAAAAGTGGTCGATTCCAGCACATGGACGATTATAAATCAGTCTCTAACCATATACATATGTATCAATCAAAAATTCGTATACATACATTTGTAGCGTATGTATGTACGAATCAATCGATAAAGTCGAACGAATTAATCGACTTTTGTCAAGAAACTAACATCCCATAAAAAATTTCTATGCCATTATGAAAGTAATAATAAACACGTACTTGATATTTTTATACTAAACAATTCTCGCTTATACATGTATTTCTGTAAAATATATACACACATATATGTATGTAATTCTTCTGTGTACACATAGATATTTCTAAAATAAATATTATTAATTATTCCGTTTCTTTCCAAGAGAGATATTATCAATTTTCTCGTTCCTTTCCGTCTTCTTGTTTATCATCTATCTCGATTCTTAATCGAATATAATTTACATGCATATATATATATATATATATATATATATATATATATATATATATATCCGCACTTAAGAGAAATATCTTTAAAAGAATATTATACAAATGCAATATTGTCTAATGAGGGAGAAGATACTAATTCCTGTTATTTTTTTTCTCTTTTCTTTTCTTTTAATCAAAAATCAAATATCATCGCGAACACTCTATGAATTAATAATAATTAAAAGGAAAACGGAATGAGGAAAAGAAAGAAAAATAGAAAAGGAAGGGGGAAAAGAACACATATATAAATTCCTGCACTAACCTATTTTTTGTGATCTCGTTGCAATCCTCTGTAATACCACGATATTATAATAATCTCGCGAATTCTAAGCACTCTCTCTCTCTCTCTCTCTCCCACTCTTTCTCTCCCACTCTCTCTCTCTCTCTTTCTCTCTTTCTCTCTCACTCTCGCTCTCATAGGTGTACGTTCTTGTTGTTGTTGTAGTTATTGTTGTTGTTGTTGTTGTTCTTGTTGATGTTGTTGAAGATGTTGTAGCTGTTGCTGATGTTGCTGTTAGCCGTGCTACTAACGCAATTGGCGCCATTACTACTGCGATTGTTAGTAGCATTATTAGTACTTTTAGCAGTAAGGCAGGGGCCACATCGGATTGGCAAGGGATGAGCAGCAAGACAGTCAACTATCATCTGTCTTACAGTAGGCATGCAGGTTTTGCTGTACCCTGGAAAACACATATCACATGCTGCATCAGAACCGAACCGTATACCGTCTATTATCACGCGATCGTTCCTCATTATTTATTTCTATTTTTATCATTATCTTTACTTCTAGTTTCTTACATTTTTTTTTTCTTTTCTTTTTTCTTTCCTCTCAAAGATCGAAAAAACGATTATGAAGATACACACACACATATATATATATATATATATATATATATATGAATCATCATATTTCTGTATTATATAAATTGTGAATAATCATTTTAAATTTATAATATCGATCGATTTTAACAATTAAAAAAAAAAAAAAAAGAAAAATGACGATCTGCGAAGAACAATCGTTACTTCGTAAATTTTTTTTCTTCTTTTAATATATTTTCCTTTCAATCATTTCTTCAATTTTGTATCAGCGATTGCGTGATAATAGCCGTCTCGTTCGTCGAACAGGTATAAAGAACATGTGATCGGTCGGAAGAGACTCGGAGTAAACACATACGTAATATACTTGGAATAGTGTGAGAATAGAAAGATAGAAAGAGAAAGAGAAAGACAGAGAGAGAGAAAGAGAGAGAAAAAGAGAGAGAGAGAGAGAGAGAGAAGAAAGCGTTCATTCAAAAACGAAAAAAGAATAATATAAAAATTAAGATAAATAATAAAAAAAGATATGAAATAAATATAATAATAAGAATAATAATAAATAATAAATAATAAATAATAAATAATAAATAATAAATAAATAATAAATAAATAAATAATTATAATAATAATAATGATGAGGATGATGATAATGATAATGATAATGATAATGATAATAATAATAATAATAATAATAATAATAATAATAATAATAATAATAATAATAATAATAATAATAATAATAATAATAATAATAATAATAATAATAATAATAATAATAATAATAATAATAATAATAATAATAATAATAATAATAATAATAATAATAATAATAATAATAATAATAATAATAATAATAATAATAATAATAATAATAATAATAATAATAATAATAATAATAATAATAATAATTAGCCTACGTTCAAGTCATTCGCTCCTATTAAAAGCGTACGAACGAATAACTCGTATATATACATGTACGTACATATTAATTAATAAATACGTACGTATTTCGCTTGTTCTCACAAAAGTTATCACTATCTACGTTTGCTAAATACATACGTATGTGGAAAGAAGAATGTGCGATAAAGGGGAAGGACGGGAGAAGGGCGTTAAACAAGAAACGAGACGATCTTGATACTTTTTTCCGTGGATTTTCGTTTGGTATTTTTAAAAGAGAAAATGAGACGAGAGGCTGAGAGTGAAAAGGAGAAGGTGAAGGGGGGCACGAGGAGCATAAGGGAAAAAAGGGAGTGGAGATCATACAAGAGAGGAACTTTGAAAAATCGAAAAACACTACGTAAATAAATTCCCTTGAAAAATTCAAAAATTCAATTCTATTCGATTCGAAATTGATCCTAAATACGCTTAGTTTTTCTTTTACTTTCGTTTCTTTTCTCTTTTGATACGATAAGATTACAAAAAAAGAAAAAAAAAGAAAAAGAAAGGAGAAAGATAAAGAAGGATCAAGGAGATAAAAACAGAAACGATATCAACTTCGAATTGAAACAATTACAAGATCGATACCAAACCATATCGAAATAAACGAAAGTAATGTCGTTTGCGAAGCTAAGCTGAATTGATCAATTGAATTATATTACTCGTATTGTTTAAATTCCGATTGAATTGCATTTAAAAACGACAGTCGAGACGAAGAAAGAAATATCAATTAAGGAAAAAAACTGAAGTGGAAGGTACAAACGGATTGATCGATCGATTGATTGAATGATTCATCGAACGAATCAATCTATCAATTAGAATCAGAAAAAAAAAAAAAAAAAAAAAAAAAATAAATAAATATATTTAAATACAACGAAAATAGATTCGCTTAAGAGAAAAGTCATCGATAAGCAAGATCGATATAACACAAGCAAACGCATAAAATCGTGCATATCAAGTGATAAATATATAGATAATGTAGGATAAAGAATGATAATTCAT